AATTTTTAAGTTTTGAACATCGATTCAGAGTCGGAATTGGATGAAACTAGTATGATTGGACTCATAATTGAATGAGTTGTTGGATTTTGTAAGTGTTGTTGAGTTTCGAGATGCGGGCTCGGGTTGGGCTTTTTGGCCGATTTTGGGCTTTTGATTAAAGATTTGACCTTTTTCGATTGGGATTGGTTGCTTTAGCATTGTTTGATGTATTTGAGTTCTTTTTGGTTAGTTTTGAGCCGTTCAGAGGTCGGAACGCGCGAGATGTCATTTTTGGAGCATCGCTTGGCTTGCTCGGTATTGGAATTGGCTTGTTTGAGGTAAGTAATGATTGTAAATCTTGTCCTGAAGGTATGAAACCCCGGATTTCACATTTTTTTACTACTTTGAGGTGACACACATGCTAGGAGATGGACGTGCACCGTTGGAGATTGTGACTTGATCCGTCCCGGAGTAACTATAAAGTTGCGTATTTGACTTAAATTATATGATACTTATGTGTTTTAGAAAGAATTTCCTATAAATTGGGCCGAATGCCATATTTGGGCCTTATGGCAGAGATGTTTGGACCCTTAGAGATTTTTTTTCTTATTATCCTCTCACTGTTTTTTATTTAAGATCTATACTCAGTCATGCTGTATTTACTGATTTCATAACTCAGTCTTTATTACTCCATTTTGATGCATAAAATGATATTTTGGGCTGAACACCCTGTTTTACTGATAACCCGAGTGGCTTGAGAGGTTTCTGACTGAGTGAGGTCGAGGGCCTGTATTGTGAGGATATTATGGGATCGGGTTGCACGCCGTAGCATGTTGTTATTGATTCATGATTTTTTTGAGGTCGCGGGCCTGATTGATTTATGCCACGAGATGACTTGTTATGAGGCCGAGGGCCTGATTGATTTATGCCACGAGGTGGCTTGTTATAGCGTTTGGGCTGTAGGAGCCCCTCCGGAGTCTGTACACCCCCAGTGAGCGCGGGTACCCTGAGTGAATGATATGATGTTTTGCCCAAGGGGCTGTTCTTGATTCATGTTGTGCCCGAGGAGCTGTTTACGAGCGATTGAGAGGTAATGCCCAATGGGCTGTATATGAGACTGTGAGGTTTGCCCGAGGGACTGTTCACGAGTGATGTTCACTGAGGCTGTTCTTAATTTATGTTGCCCGAGGGGCTGTATACGAGTGAGTTTTGCCTGAGGGGCTGTTTATGTTTTCATCATTTTTGCTCACTCTTTCATCACTTCGTTGAAAACTGTTGAAAGATGTTTTAAATGGTTTTACTGAAACTGGATTTAAATGAGCTGAGTTGATTCAAAACCCTGATTTTAAAAACCTGCTGTATTTTATTGAGATTTCATGATATGAACTGTATATGTTTTATTGCTCATCACTATTGCTCAGTCTCTATTTACTTTTATTACTGACTGAGTTGGCGTACTCACATTACTCCATGCACCTTGTGTGCAGATCCAGGTATTTCTGAACCCGATAGCGGGTGTTGATTACTCAGTGGCAAATCCATCGAAGTTAGTAAGGTAGCTTCCTAGCGATCGCAACCCTGCTTTTCTCCCTCCTTATCCTCCCTTAGTTGTATTCAATTATTTCCAGGCTATGTTAGTCTTGATGTTGTTAGACGGTTATAGTAGATGTTCATGACTAGTGACACCCCGATGTCGGGCTTTTTTTTTCGCACTGTTGTTTTAATTTAAACTCCTTATGCAGGTTTATTGTTAAATAGCTTTGGTTTTGTCTTAAAAATGAAAACATTGATTGGTTTTGGTAATGTTTCGGCTTGCCTAGTACCACGTTAGTCGCCATCACAACAGGGTTAGTTTTGGATCGTGACACTTACTATACCTATGTAGTAGGTTATCAAATCCCACATATGTATATACACACACTTTTATCTAGATTATTTTAATTTCCATTTAGTATTATATATTATATATATGAAAGAAAATGCTTGTGCAAAATGAAGAGAAATTTAAACATATACCTTGACTCCATAGTTCCATTTGAAGCAGAGAAGTGACCCAACTGGTATTCCAATGATGTAATAACAACCAACATTTACATATGCAACAAAAGCTTGCCATCCGCATCCAACAGCAACACCTTTTGTATTAGGAAGGATATACAAGCAAACTTAATTTAAGGGGAGAAATTTAAAAATAGCCATATTTACAATTGGTCATTCAAAAATAGCCATAGTTTCAAAAGTAATTGAAATTCAGCCACTTTTCATGTAAAGATAAATCTGAGCGAAAATACAATTCAAAACTCGAAAAATACACCCGTATATTATACTGGAGTTCCAGCATAAGTATGCTTGAACTCCAGCATATTATACGGGAGTTCCAGGATAACTATGCTGGAACTCCAGCATAATATGTTGGAGTTCCAGCATAAGTACACTAGAACTCTAACATAATATACGGGAGTTCCAGCAAGTATAAATGTCCAGTATAATATACTGGAGTTTGGAGCACCGGTGCTCCAGTCTCCCGTATATTATACAGGAGTCAGCAAAGTATACCGGTCCAGCATAATATGCTGGAGTTCGTACACAGATGCACCGAACTCCCGTATATTATACGGGACCGGTCTCTGTTGCAGCAAAATAGTGGCTATTTTTCATTGACTTCGTAAACGGTGACTATTTTTGATTGACTAGTCCGAAAACTGGTTATACCGTGCTATTTTGACTAATTTAAGTGTATTAGATCTGGACCAAAAGAATAGCCCATGGCCCGATCGATGATGGATACAATCGCAAAGTTAATCCATGATTACATACCAACATTAATAATCATGAGCATTTATTATTTTTTTTAAAAAAAATCTGATTTCAAACTATTTAATTTCATAAAACAAAAGAAAATCTTACCCAGTAAAACAGGTTGAATGCCATTGAGCAGGATTGACATTGCCAAGAAGGGCGTTAATCCGGAGACTACGTTTGCGACATTCTTTCCATCCGTAAAAATGTAACTAATGACATGCCGTAACGTAAGAACAAGGATTGCAAAAAATAGTGAAATCAGGAAGCAACTTAGAGTTGCTATCAGAACTGAGAAAGCAGCTGATTTGGGATGTCCTGCTCCAAGTTCATTGCTCACCCTAACACTGTCATCATAATCCCAGGTAGGCAAATAATTAATTAACAGAGTTTTCAAAATAGAGTTCAGAATCTATGCTTTGATAAGTGTGTGCTGCATTGATAATCTATGATTGCATAAGTTGACATTTCACTAACCTTGCAGCTGCACTGAAGCCTACAGATATCTTGAAAACCCATCCAAGTATTTGCATGCTGCAGGTCAAATTTTATTTAAAAGACTGAGAACATGGGTGCATACTTGTTTGATAAATGTGATTAAATATTCTTACAATGAGCAAATACTGATATGAATATCAGGGGCCTCCCTAGGAGCAACTTATGGGTTTGGCCGTACCTAATAGGTTCGCCCTAAACCTTGTATTTGTGTTATGAAATTCACTAAATATGTATAACTTTAAATTTTAGAAACCAATTACTTGAGATCGTTGTTGCAGAATTCAGAACCCATAAAATTCAAATCTCGAATCTATTTCTCGATGAATATTGTCGTCCGAAGATCTAGCATTCAGGTAATACAATCAAATGAGGTTATCTTGACTGATTAGCTGTCAAACCGCAAGTCAAACAAGAAAAGAAAGAAAAAGAATAGGTTGAAAACCTCCAAAAGATGAATGTTTATGCTTATATTTCCTCTTAGTTACTAATACTGCAAAGGAATCTTATTTACTCCCTCTGGTTCAACTTAGATGAGGTAGTTTGACTCGGCACAGAGCTTAAGAAAAAAAAAGACTTTTGAAATTTGTGGTTTTACAAGTTTAAGGGGTAAAAACTTTGTGGGGCCATGATATTTTTGTGGTTGTAAAATTTCTCATTAAGAGTAAAATGTGTAAAATGAAGAGTTTAAAGTTGAATTATTTCCAAATTTAGAAATGCGTCATCTATTTTGGAATAGACTAAAAAGAAAAATAACTCATCTAATTTGAAACGGAAGGAATACCAAGTTATTTTAATATTTAAAAGTTTTTCTTTGTGGTTAATTCTTTATGCTATAAACTTAATTCAACTCAAATACTCAAATATTGGAACCATTCATTTACCATATGGTAAGAGAATCCAGTGACATTTCAGCATTTTTGAGCCGCCCTGCAATCAGCACAAGGATTTGATAGTAGCAGCATTCTAATGAGAGCATCACCGCAGAAACCAGTGACAGTTTCAAGAAATCCCATAATCCAGAAAATGCCAGCATACTGAAACCTGTCCATGTCTTCTTGCACTTTTTACTTGACAAAATATACACAAACTGTGCTACAACTATAATCCACCACGAAAAACTCAGCATCAATGAAGCCCCCAAAATTCCCCAACGAGTTTTATACACAACAAGCCATGTAAAGAAGCTATGAACAACCAGGGTGGCTGCTGCAATATAAGCACTAGGCTTGATAATGCTCTGTGATTGAAGGAATTTTTGAATTGAGAAGTTCGCTGCGTACGCGAAAATTTGGGGAATTAGACCATAGACGAAAACTGCAGCTGCTGACGCGATCGCTGGTTTCTGACCGAGTAGAATCAAGATTGGCTTGGAGAAGATGTAGATGAATAAGAGTGGAATTCCTGTGGCCATAAGGATGAGTGTTGATCTTTGTAGGTATATTCCTAGCATCTCATACCTCTGCGCTCCATATGCTTGTCCACACAATGTCTCCACTGCACTTCCCATTCCAAGCTGCAGCAACAAACAGTGAAGCAACAACTGATAAATATGACATTTGTATAACATGTTAAGATACACTAATAATGTAAAAGTATTATCTTTATACTACTGTTAGTATATATCGCTTAAATCCTTAGGAAATTATCATATTTATTGTAAGTAGTAGCATCACAGATCGCGATTAATGAATTATAAAGTCTCTTAAAATTGAATGGTCTGGCACTTTTAGCCCTTTCAACAGTGGTTACTATTCAAACACTCCAAAATTTTGTTCTTGTGGATAGACGTGCCATAATCCTTAAGCCTGAATTTGACATTCTGCAGCATAAAAGTGCTTAATGCTTAGCTTATTACAGGGTTGGTGTCGGAGGGTAATGAACTTACCATGATACCATAGGCAAAGACTTGAATACCAACGTTGCCAAGAGAAGAAGCAGCTAATTCAAAACTCCCAAGACGTCCACAGAAGATTTGAGTGACGATAGAAATGAGATTATTCAGCATATAAACTATAATTGCCGGCCCTGCCAGAGGCAAGAGATTACTCAATTCGATTTTGATTGAACGTCGAAATCGCACCAAAAAAGATAAGCTTTTGTCTGATAGCATTTCTTCAAGCTCAGAGCTTATTGTTTGATGATTCGGTTCTAACACTTCTGGTGTTGCTGATGATGGTGATATGGATTCACAGGGCTCATCACATTCTCTCCTAAACTCCATTACTTTCTCTCTTTTTGTTATAGAGTTTACTAATGAGATGTCAATTTTCAAAGTAAAAATATGACCTAAAGAATCACTTTTTGTCGTTCGGTATTTGAAATCTACTCACTCGATTAATTCAGATTCAGGTCGATTTGATCCACTAAGAAGATAATTAAGTATTATTTATTAAGAAGTTCGTTATGTTACGGAAGCCAAATTATATAGTATGAATGAGTCACAACTATTATACCAAAAATTATGACAGTCACCAAATAATAAATAAGACAATAAAGCAACAATAAAATGAACATCAGAATTTACGAGGTTCGGCCAATTTTGCCTACTTCCTCGGACACAACCAATATTTTATTCTACTCCAAAAATACAAGTGAAATAATACTAAAGAGAGAAGATACAAATGTCTTAAGAAGATAAGAAGGCAAATGAGAGGTGTGTTTAAATCCTAAACATTAGGCCTCCTTTTATAGGGAAAAATTCCCAACAACTTTCTTCCTTCACCGATGTGGGACATTTTGGCATTCAACAAATCTCCACCTTGGCAAAATTCCACATCTTTAATTTTCTCTTAATAACAAATTTTGGTTGTATCTTCATCTTCAATCTTCAGTGTTCAACAATGTTGATCAAATTCAAACAATGTTGAAACTTGACCGCAATCACCACTTTTGTCAGCATATCAGCAGGATTCTTTCTAATATGAATTTTCTTCACCGTGACTCCACCTTCTTCTATGATTTCTCGTACGAAATGGTACCGAACATCAATATGCTTCGTCCTTGCATGATAAACTTGGTTCTTCGCTAATTGAATAGCACTTTGACTATCACAAAAAATTGCGATACTTTTGTGTCCAATACCAAGCTCTTTTAGCAATCCCTGAAGCCAAATTGCCTCCTTCACAATCGCTGTAATAGCCATGTACTTTGCCTCTGTTCTAGACAAAGCAACTGTTGACTGCAAAGTAGACTTCCAACTAACTGGTCCCTTTGCAAAAGTAAACACAGAACCAGTAGTTGATCTTCGTTGTCCAGATCACCCGCAAAATCTGAGTCACAATATCCAACTACAGACTGATTGCCTTCCTGCTCAAAAACTAACCCAACATCTACAATATTATGAATATACCTTAGAATCCACTTCACAGCTTGTGAAATGTCAGGTCTCGTACGGACTATTGCATACATCAAGCTACCAACAGCATTTGCATATGGTACCCTTGATATATACTCCTGTTCAGCTTCATCTTTTGGCGACATAGTAGTACTTAACTTAAAATGGGGAGCAAGTGGAGTACTAACCGGCTTAGTCTTCTCATCTATGCCAGAACATTGTAGTACTCTCTTCAAATATTCCTTTTGAGATAAACAGAGTTTCTTTGAACGTCTAT